TTTTAATAGGCAGGAGTTCGCCAGAGTTGCCACGCTCAGTAGATGGGTAGGCACCCGCAGATTTTCAGTTGTCATCAGTAAGATACTGCTGGCCATCTTGGGTTTCGGTTACCCTCTGTCACCTTTAACGGCACCCACCGAATAATATGGAATAGTTGATATTCTTACGCCGCCACTGCAGAATATAGGCAAACCTGAAAAAAAATATATTTACCATGTTTCCAGAAGTTATTTGTACAAATTTAAATAAAAAAGTTTTGGAATTTCTAAACGTCGCATCGTTCTAAATTCAAAGGATCTACCAACAACTTTCAGTTGTAAAAAAGATAATTTAATTATAACTTTGACTTTCACGGCAAACTTTTTATCTTAATCACTTATAAAAAAATTTAACAAGTTACAAACACGAAATTGTTTTCTACTTTAATGGCGATATCTTATTTAAACGTCTTCTCGTCCAATCTCTAATTCTTCCATTATTTGACTATGCCGATGTTTGTCTAACTAATATATCTCAGGAGCTGCTAAAAGGTTGGACAGGTTACTTAACATCTGTATCCGATTCATCTTTGGCCTGCGCAAATATGATCACTTTTCAGAATTTCGCTCTCAGTTAAAGTGGTTGACTACACGACAGCGCAGAGATTTCCGAATCCTGTCCACTCAGTTTTCAGTTCTTGATGATCCTTCCTCACCCCTTTATCTAAAAGAAAGATTTCAATTCCTTAGTGACACTCATTCTCTCAATCTCCGTTCTTCACAAAGTTTATTCCTGTCCACTCCTCTCCACCATTCTGGGTCTATGTCAAATTCTTTCACAGTTACTTCCATTACCCTCTGGAACAAATTGCCTGTTGACCTGCGAACAATACCTGCCAAAAATATTTTTAAAAGAAAACTATATGAGCATATCCGTAGACTTCAAAGTTGAGTTAATTTATTTTATATGTTTATAGTTATTTATATATACATTTATTGAGATATATATGTATTAATGTGTGTATTTATTTATATATGTATATGAATTATATATATATATATATATATATATATATATATATATATATGTATTATATATATATATATATATATATATATATATAATATATTTGAACTGTATTATATCATGACAACTTAACTGCCCACACTCCCTCTCTGTTCTACCCAAGGTTAGCTAGTAGAGAATGCCATATAGCATTAAGCTCGCCTTTTGTACAAATATTTGGTTCAATAAAGAATAAATAAATAAATAAATAAAATTATCCTAGGCGGCCTCGTACTGGCGGACAAAGTGTAGGGCGTTCCCCCACTAGATGGAGTGATGACCTGGTAAGACATGCAGGAAGTCGATGGGTGCAAGTGGCTCAGGACCGTGCTTTGTGGCTGTGTTCAACAGTGGACTTGTGAAGGGTTGTAATGATGATGATGGTGATAATGATATCCCAGTAGAGTTAGTATTTCTTTTTAATATGACCTGTATTTTCCTTGCTTAATTCTGCTGTGTTTCGTATGGTGTGTGTAGAGAACTGAAGGGCCTTTTTACTGGTAACAAGGTGTTCGTTCTTAGTCCTCAGAAACGACAACGTATCTATATTTTGATTCTTAATCGAAGATAGATGTTGGGCACGGCATTTCTCATCTTCAGGTGGACTGTGTGCTCATTTGTCACCCGTATTCTAAAAAAAACATTTACAATTATTATCGCAATAACTTAAAACTTAATACTACTCTACAACTTTTTGACGTGGTAGAGCCATGCTGCAGCTATATTAATAGTATAGTTGTAGCACGAATGGGTCGGCTCGACCGGGGAAAGACTACGCTCTCACACAATACTAACGTAAAATAGCAGGTTAATGCTGCTGTGTTTCTTATGGTGAGTGTAGAGAACCGGAGACCTTTTTTACTGGAAAAGAGGCACTCTATCTTAGTCCTCACGGCTGATAACACATCTGCATTTTAATTCGCAAACGAAGATACATGTAGATGTCTATGGACCACAGCAACCACTTACCATCAGGTGGACTGTGTGCTCGTTTGTCACCCTTATTCTAGAAAAAAAACTTCTTTATAGAAAAGGGATGAGAAACTAGTGTGAATACTTTAGCCTATATATACCTACACCTATCCCCGATTAAGGATCAAAATATAGATGCGTTGTTACCCCTGAGAACTTAAATAAAATACCACGTTACCAATAAAAAAGGGTCGTCGGTCCTCATCAAAAACTCATAAAAAACTTTTAAAAGAAACTAACTACTAAAAAGAGCGTTATTACCATAGTCCACATTTGAACATGCCTTATCAACTGTGTAACATCAAGCATGCAATCCTTTAAGAAGTTATTCGTAATCACCACGCTAACTTTTATTTCGGAAGTGAGGATAAGCTAAGAAATATTAGGGGTTAATATGTGTTAATATGTTAAAATTCCATCTTAATTCCACCTTTTATTCTGTTATAATTTAAAATTAAAAATTTTGTACAGCCGACTTCAATATAAATTATTAAGAATAACTCAAAGACTATTGGTCTGACCTTGATGAGTCATATGGGACCACACGAGAAGTACCAGCTTTCAAACAAAAAAGAATCATCGAAATCGGTTCACCCAGTAAAAAGTTATTAGACATAAAAAAACATACAGTCGAATTGAGTATCGTCTCCTTTTTGGAAGTCGGCAGAAAATATATTTAGTTAATCGAGTTATAATCGAAGGAAAGCTCATTTATGCCTTTACGTTATAAATACAATAACATCATACAAGAGTTTACCAAATTCCAGAAAAAAATGGTAATCAGTTTGAGCTAGATCTGGCGAGTATGAAGGATGACGTATGATTTTTTACTTTAGTTCTTGTAATGTTAATGTTGTGCAGCGTAAATTTCCAATACAGGGCCTTTATTTAAAATCTGGTGTACTAAGTATAAGGAAATTTTAAAAAGTAAAAGCATAAAGATATGTTTTTGACACATACATTTTAAGCCGCATTCCGACGACACGCACCCGCCACGCGCACGCCACGCGCGTTAGCACCCGCGTCTGACTCGCTTTGAAATTTGTTGCATATAATTTGAGTCTTATGGCAAATCAATAAATCTGAAATTGCATTTTAGCGACGTTCCACCGCACACGCCTCGCACACGCCACGCGCCCGCCTTGTTCCCGCTCCGCGCCGGCCCCACGCTCGCCCCGCACACGCTCTACACCCGCCCCGCTACGCCCTACGCCCGCGCTTTTTATACAATTTCAGATTTATTGATTTGTCATAAGACTCAAATTATATGCAAAAAATTTCAAAGCGAGTTAGACGCGGGTGCTGACGCACGTAGCGTGCACGTAGTGGGTGCGTGTCATCAGAACGTGGCCTAAACACAAAAGGAGAAAAGATATTGTACTTAACTCATTTTGTATTGAAATTTTCATTTAGCATTCGCTAGATGTCAGTTCATACACACACACATGCACGCATGCACGCACGCACGTTCGCACTCACGCACGTACGCACGCATCCATTTACACACTTATTATTATTATTAAATGTTCATTGAAAAGCTCTAAATCCATTATTTTCTTATTTTTAAAAAACATGCATCTAACTTTTCCCAGCTCATGAAGTGATGGCTTATCACATGCAGAATTTGTTTCCTTGAGGAATTTTATTGCTTGTTGGTTTTTTACTACACCATCTCCTTTTACAAAAACAATTCTTGGCACTTCAGAAACCTAAAAATCAATTCCTTATTTTGTCAAATTTTGAAATAAATTCGTGAAAAGTCTCATCAGTCTCATTTGCTATGAATTTATTCTAAGGCCGTACCTATAATTAGTATCTATAAATTATTGCAGTTTATGTCCACATAGACTTTGCGAAAAATTTTCTGTAATACCATCAAGATTATCATCAGAATCTTTTGTTATACGTCGTTAATTTGTCACATCGTTATATTCTTCATCAGCAAATTCCTGGTCTGATATAGGATCAATTTCCTCGTTATCCGATTCTCCGATGGGATCCGATGGGACCACACGAGAAGTACCAGCTTTCAAACAAAAAAGAATCATCGAAATCGGTTCACCCAGTAAAAAGTTATTAGGTAACAGACATAAAAAAATATACAGTCTAATTGAGAACCGTCTCCTTTTTGGAAGTCGGCAGAAAATATATTTAGTTAATCGAGTTATAATCGAAGGAAAGCTCATTTATGCCTTTACGTTATAAATACAATAACATCATACAAGAGTTGACCAAATTCCAGAAAAAAAAATGGTAATCAGTTTGAGCTAGATCTGGCGAGTATGAAGGATGACGTATGATTTTTTACTTTAGTTCTTGTAATGTTAAAACTGTTTGTCAACCAATGTGGGGGCTTGCGTTACCGTGGTGGAGCCATACCGCTGCTAAATTATGGTTGTAGCACGAATTGGTCGACTCATCCGGGGTAGAATCACGCTCTCACAGAATACCAGCGTATAATTGCACCTTAATGATGCTGTGTTTCGTATGGTGAATATAGAAAACCGGAGTCCCTTTTTACTGAAAATAAGGAATTTTATCCTTGTCTTCGGGGTGATAACGCATCTGCATTTTGATTCTTAATCAGGGATAAATGTAGATGATTATGGGCCACAACATCCACTTACCATAAGGTGGACTATATGCTCGTTTGTTACTTTTATTTTATAAAAGAAAATCATAGAGCAATAATGGCGATTTGGGGAAACAATAGAATGTCATAAAATATTTGAATTTAAATAAGGTTTTTACTGTTTAAAAAAAATATCACGAATCTTGAACTACACAAGCTTAATTTTAATTCAAGTGCGCGCTCAATTAAAATCCCTATAATTTCCCCATCGCTCGAATTAATTTCAACATTTTCCAATGGATATTCCGCTTTTGCTCAGTCGTCAGAGCTTTGTCTGTCAGTCAAGGTATTTTATGAATAATAATAACTCAACGTAATATACAAAGCAATTGTGGGGATTATGCGCCTCTTAGTATAAAACCCGACGCTACACTCGTCGGACGTGCGGTCTATACTTTATATACTGTGCTCGTGTAGTGTTTATGTTGCTTTAAAATAAGGGATATATGTTATCCAATTATTATATTTACAACGTAAGTTTAATTTATTATTTTTTATAAGTTTTACACTAAGAACTTGCATAGTTTTCAATTGAGATTATATCTTAACCTTTTTTATTTAAGTTTGAAATATTTTATATAAAAATATCTAAAACGTTTAATTTTTCGGATATAATTCATATGGAACATTTTAAAAATAGCAAACAAACTTTTAATATTAATAGGTCTCCATTTATATAATATTTTCATGTCAATTTTTAGATTTTTACTATTGTTAAGAAAAAAAAAATTCATTTTCTTTTTTTTTACTCTAAATATATGATTCTTTTTTGAAATTACAAATAAAATATTTAATTTTCTAAATAATCATAATAATATATTTGATAATGATTATACTCACAGAATTTGATACATTCATTGTAATAATATCTCACGATCCTTGATCGATTAATGCACCGCGTATATTTATTTTTATAAAACAACTTATTCAAGTATATAATATATAATCATATTGGCAGAATTAATAAATCAATAAATATATTCGTGATATAATCATCAATAACAGCTTAAAAATTTGGCACACGGAAATAGATTCTCTATAAATAACCATTTGATCGATAACTGATTTTTCCAAACTGTTACTACACATGACATTTATTGTGAGCTTAGCAGTAAAATATAGAGCCAACATTTGAACGCTAGGCACGGCCATCCTCCAATTCTGGAAAGAGTGATAAAACAATGAATATATCACTTATGTTCATCCGTTACCGTAACAGCCTATTAAAGTTCACTGCTGAACATAGACCTTCCCCATCTCATCTGATTCGAACGCTAACAGCCATCCCATCCGTTTGTCTCATTGCGATTAGATAGCGCGCGAGTTGAATGCAGAGGTCAGGAATGCGATAGTGCTGTGACCTAATTAGAATTAATGATGACAATATGTCGATAAATTTCAACATTGTTTTAAGTTTAACGTTTTAAGTTTACAAAAAACAAGATAATAATTATCACACATTTTTTATTATTTTACACATCAAAATCAATAAAAAAAATTATAATTTATGCAGCATCAGATACTGAAATGGCAGACTTGGTTGAATCGGTGTCACCATCCTCACCATCGTTGACCTCAATTACGAATCGATCTATGGTATCTTCCATTAATCCATCTCTTTGGCAATAATTTTCTTCTAAAATTATGACGTGATCGTCGAAGCCACGCTACGCTAAGGCGTAGAGGCTGCTCTTCCCGCAGCGCCGGAGACGTAGCAGTCTCAAAATAGATACAGAAATCCTTCTGAATTAGTCCCCTTATTTTTTTATGACGAAGGGAATTTTTTTTCTGGTAAAATGGATTTATATTTACATTATAAATGCAAACATGAAAAAAATATAGATATTTTAGAAATCGATTTTTTGGGAATCGATACATCAGCTTACAATTCGAATCTATTTAAAAACTCGATCTTTTTCGGAAAGAATCGACATCCCTACTGACAATAATAATAAAAAATGGCGTCAGTTTCATAGTAGGTAGGAATTGACATAAATATTGCAAAAATATTTGATTTTCAATACTTTTCTCTCAAAAAGTACATGTTTCCGCATATTGAAACTTTTTGTGTGTGCTTATAAAAATGTAATCTTTCTGTAAAAATACGTATCAACACCAAACTCGACGGACGTCAATGGAAAGTCGTACCAACATTTTAAAAATAGCAAACAAACTTTTTATATTAATAGGTCTCCATTTATATAATATTTTCATGTCAATTGTTAGAATTTTACTATTGTTAAGAAAAAAAATCATTTTCTTTTTTTACTCTAAATATATGATTCTTTTTTTAAATTACAAGTAAAATATTTAATTTTCTAAATAATCATAATAATATATTTGATAATGATTATACTCACGGAATTTGATACATTCATTGTAATATCTCACGATCCTTGATCAATTAATGCACCGCGTATCATTGAGTTATATGTACTACGTAGTACATATAACTCAATGACCGCGTATATTTATTTTTATAAAACAACTTACTCAAGTATATAATATATAATCATATTGGCAGAATTAATAAATCAATAAATATATTCGTGATATAATCATCAATAACAAAAATTTGGCACACGGAAATAGATTCTCTATAAATAACCATTTGATCGATAACTGATTTTTCGAAACTGTTACTACACATGACATTTATTGTAAGCTTAGCAGTAAAATATAGAGCCACAACATTTGAACGCTAGGCACGGCCATGCTCCAATTTTGAAAAGAGTGATAAAACAATGAATATATCACTTATGTTCATCCGTTACCGTTACAGCCTATTAAAGTTCACTGCTGAACATAGGCCGCCCGTATGGATTTCCTCATGGGGAGATATTTGCCATAGATGCCACGCAAGCGGGTTGGCAACCGCAGTATTTTTTATTTTTTAGTTATTATTAGCAAGACGCAGCTGTATATCTCCTGGTTTATTTTCCTCTGTCACATTAGACGACACCCATGGGACTATACTATACGATATACGATATATATATCAATCAGGATACTATATATACTATATATATAGATACGCTTCCCTTCGCGTCGTTCTAAATTCAAAGTATCTACCAACAACTTTCGGTTGTAAAAAAGATAATTTAATTATAACTTTGACTTTCACGATAACCTTTTTATCTTAATCACTTATAAAAAAAATTAACAAGTTACAAACACGAAATGCTTTCCTACTTTAATGGCGATTCTCCTAGGCGGCCTCGTACTGGCGGACAAAGTGTAGGGCGTCCCCCCACTAGAAGGAGTGACGATCTGGTAAGACATGCAGGAAGTCGATGGATGCAAGTGGCTCAGGACCGCGCTTTGTGGCATCTCTTGAGGGAGGGCTGTGTTCAGCAGTGGACTTGTGAAGGGTTGTAATGATGATGATGGTGATGATGATATCCCAGTAGAGTTAGTATTTCTTTTTAATACGACCTGCATTTTCCTTGCTTAATTCTGCTGTGTTTCGTATGGTGTGTGTAGAGAACTGAAGGGCCTTTTTACTGGTAACAAGGTGTTCGTTCTTAGTCCACAAAAACGACAACGCATCTATATTTTGATTCTTAATCGAAGATAGATGTAGGCCACGGCATTTCTTATCTTCAGGTGGACTGTGTGCTCATTTGTCATCCGTATTCTAAAAAAACATTTACAATTATTATCGCAATAACTTAAGACTTAATACTACTCTACAACTTTTTGACGTGGTAGAGCCATGCTGCAGCTATATTAATAGTATAGTTGTAGCACGAATGGGTCGGCTCGACCGGGGAAGGACTACACTCTCACAAAAAACTAGCGTAAAATAGCAGCATAACTCTGCTGTGTTTCGTATGGTGAGTGTAGAGAACCGGAGACCTTTTTTACTGGAAAAGAAGCACTCTATCTTAGTCCTCACGGCTGGATAACACATCTGCATTTTAATTCTCAAACGAAGATAGATGTAGATGTCTATGGACCACAGCAACCACTTACCATCAGGTGTCCACCTGTGTGCTCGTTTATCACACTTATTGTATAAAGAAAGACTTCTTTATAGAAAAGGGATGAGAAACTAGCACACAGTCCAGTGAATACTTTAGCCTATATATATACCTACACCTATCCCCGATTAAGGATCAAAATATAGATGCGTTGTTACCCCTGAGAACTTAAATAAAATACCACGTTACCAATAAAAAAGGTCGTCAGTCCTCAACAAAAACTCAAAAAAAAAGCTTAAAAATAAACTAACTACTAAAAAGAGCGTCATTACCATAGTCCACAGTTGAACACTATACAGTAATCTGTGGTTGAACATGCCGTATCAACTGTGTGACATCAAGCATGCAATCCTTTAAGAAGTTATTCGTAATCACGCTAACTTTTATTTCGTAAGTGAGGACAAGCTAAGAAATATTAGGGGTTAATATGTGAAATTCCATCTTAATTCCACCTTTTCTTCTGTTATAATTTAAAATTAAAAATTTTGTACAGCCGACTTTAATATAAATTATTAAGAATAACTCAAAGACTATTGGTCTGACCTTAATCAGTCATATGGGACCACACGAGAAGTACCAGCTTTCAAACAAAAAAGAATCATCGAAATCGGTTCACCCAGTAAAAAGTTATTAGGTAACAGACATAAAAAAACATACAGTCGAATTGAGTACCGTCTCCTTTTTGGAAGTCGGCAGAAAATATATTTAGTTAATCGAGTTATAATCGAAGGAAAGCTCATTTATGCCTTTACGTTATAAATACAATAACATCATACAAGAGTTGACCAAATTCCAGAAAAAAATGGTAATCAGTTTGAGCTAGATCTGGCGAGTATGAAGGATGACGTATGATTTTTTACTTTAGTTCTTGTAATGTTAAAACTGTTTGTCAAGCAATGTGGGGGCTTGCGTTACCGTGGTAAAGCCATACCGGTCGACACATCCGGGGTAGAATCACGCTCTCACAGAATACCAGCGTATAATTGCATGTTAGTGATGCTGTGTTTCGTATGGTGAATATAGAAAACCGGAGACCCTTTTTACTGAAAATTAGGAATTTTAGCCTTGTCTTCGGGGTGATAACTCATGTGCGTTTTGATTCTTAATCAGGGATAGATATAGATGGCTATGGGCCACAACATCCACTTACCATAAGGTGGACTATGTGCTCGTCTGTTACTTTTATTTTATAAAAAAAAATCATAGAGCAATAATGGCGATTTGGGAAAACAATAGAATGTCATAAAATATTTGAATTTAAATAGGGTTTTTACTGTTTAAAAAAAATATCTCGAATCTTGAACTATACAAGCTTAATTTTAATTCAAGTGCGCGCTCGATTAAAATCCCTGTAATTTCCCCATCGCTAGAATTAATTTCAACATTTTCCAATGGATTTTCCGCTTTTGTTCAGTCGTCAGAGCTTTGTCTGTCAGTCAAGGTATTTTACGAATAATAATAACTCAACCTAATATACAAAGCAATTGTGG